CAGCAGGAGATTGGTTCAACAGGGGACTAGATAATATTCTAAAGGGCAGAAATTACTGTCCTTTCCTACCATCTTCTATTCGTTCTAATGTTATATATAAGCCTGTTATGTGTTTACGGTTTGTTTTTACTGATTTTTTTATTTTTGTCTCTAGTTCTCCCTTGCTAGGGCTGCGTCCGAGGACAGGTGGTGCTCCAGCTTTATACTGTTCTGAAGTGTTGATTACCTCCGTCAGTCCTTCTGACATACCCCCTCCTCTCTGTTTATCAGCCATCGACCAATCCACCTTCCCCTTCCCTGTTTTCAGTCGCTGTTGATCCTCCCTTTCCTCTTTGCTTTTAGGTGTTGGCCATTCCACTTTCACCCATCTATTGTGTCGTCACAAACTCCACCCACACCCTTATAGTTTGTTGCTGACCTTATCCCACTTCCCCGTCGAGCCGCTCTAGCCTGTTGCCCTTCGCATGGGTGGCAGACTTCCCTTTTTTGCACTCCAATCTGACAACTAGTCCTTTTTTACCCCTTCATATCACTGTTGAACCTCTTCCATCTACTTCCAACAACCACCTGTTTGGGGTTAGTTTTTACTGATTTTTTATTTTTGTCTCTAAGAGTTCTCCCTTGCTAGGGCTGCGTCCGAGGACAAGTGATACTCCGGCTTTATCCTGCTCTTAAGTGGTGATTACCTCTGTCAATCCTTTTGACATACTCCCTCTCTGTTTATCAGCCATCGACCAACCCACCTTCCCTGTTTTCAGTCGTTGCTGATCCTCCCTTTCTTCTTTGCTTTCAAGTGCTGGCCATTCCACTTTCACCTATCTACTGTATGGCCACAAACCCCACCTGCACTCTTATAGGTTGCTGCCGACCTTATCCCACTTCCCTGTTGAGCCGCTCCAGCCTGTTGCCTTTCGCATGGGTGGCAAACTTCCCTTTTTTGCACTCAAAACTGATAGCTAGTCCTCTTTTACCCTTCATATCACAGTTGAACCTCTTTTTGCTGCGTTTACTTTCAAATCTTCTATATGGATTCCTTCTCCCTTTCATTGAATTGTATCCAAGGAGATGGTGGTGCTCCGACTGTATCCTACTCCGAGATGGTGATTGTATCTCCCCTTTTATTTTCCCTAACCTGTCTCTTCCACTCCCTCTAGCTACCGACCACTGCAAGCCTTCCCCAGCCACCTACAACCCACTTCCCAGTCGTCCAATCTGTTGTCCAAACCCCTCAAGCCTGTTGTCTAGCCCCGCAACCTGCTGTCTAGTCGTCAAACCAGCTGTCCTGGCTCCCCTTATCTATTTTCCAGACTCCCGTTACCTACTGTCCAGCCTTTCTGCCATCCCCCCTCACTTTCCCAGCCTTCCAAACTACCCTACAACCCTCGACCATTTCTCTTTTCCTCGTCACCTTGCTGAAGCCATCACTACCCTTGGATCTTCTCTTCTGGTCCTCATTAGATATTTGGATTGTTATTGTATTCCCCTTTTTCGTTTGAGTCGTGTTGTAACCATATTTCTAAATTAATTAAAGTTTGCTTTGGTGTTTCCGCTGAATTTCATCTAGTTCCGATATTAATAGGTCTTTGAGCTTGATATATGGCATTACTCTATATCAATTTGAAACACTTTAAAACTGACCTACTTTATGCAATTTCTATCAAACATGCAATTTTTTCAGTGATTGAAGTCCATCGTGAAGCTTTCCTCATTTCTAAGTGTGTCAACCAGCTTGCAAAAATGCAAATTGCTTGATTGCAGTGATTTATTATGTTAAGAAAACTACTGTGAAAGAGTCTCTTTTTTAATTTTGCACCGGAATAAGATCACAGGATTTGGAAATCGGAATAAAAAAGATTTAAGCATAAAAATACAATCAAAACGACCAAATAAATACACAAATTTTACGGCAAAAAATCTGAGAACGGGAAAAAATCACGGAGTCACACCACCACAAATCCTATTATGTTATTTAGAAAATTTTACAAAGGACTCACATAAGTTTTTTCTCCACACTTACACGAAAAACTTACAGGAGGTGCATCTACAATCTTCCTTCTTTGATTCGACGCAAAAATCACGCTGAATCACCGAAATCTACCTCTTCGACACTCCTCACCTTTCCGGGATGTTTGTGAAAGAATACAGAAGAAAGAAACAACAAAACTCAACAAGAAAGACTTGAAATTGAGATTAAAAATAAATCCTGAAAGAAAACTGCCCCGGATGCTTAGGCGCCCAGACTTGGGCACTTAGAAGCCAAGTTTTTTGTTTGACGCCCCATAATGGGCACTAAGGCGCTAATAGAGCGGCGCATAGGCGCCAGTCCCTCTAGAAGTGAGTGCATATTAGCCCAAAACTGACGCCTAAGCACCGCTCAGTGGGCGCTTGAGCGCTATACCTGGCGCATTCGCGTCAATAACTCTGTTTTGTCTTCACACATCGTAACAATCTTCCACTTAGAGTCAAAAGCATCGAACACTGGTTATCTGTACCTGCACCTTGATCTGAATCGTCTTCATAGTCACGTACCGTGGTTACATATCGTGGTGTGGCTCACCACCGGTCTAAACCTTCGTGAAACCCAACTGAAGACAAATACAACTTCAGTTTCTCAACATTCACCACCTTTTCCAACATATATGCAATATTTTCAGTTGTATATATCTTTTTTAGAAATAACTGCTCGTCATCTAGAAGAGATCGAATGAAATGATAATTGAGTTGGACGTGTTTCGTCCTAATATGAAAATTAGCATTCTTAGCAAAATGAATCTTACTCATACTGTCACTGTAGAGCTTTCTAATCCCCTGCTCCTTGCCCAAATCTGCCATAAAATTCTATAGCCAAATCATTTCTTTGCTAGTATTAGTAATAACAACATATTCAACATCCCTAGTTGAAAGTGCAATGATCTTTTGGAACCTGGAAACCCAACTCACTGCTGTGTTCCTCAATATAAAGATGTACTCCGTTGTACTTCTACTGTCCACATCACTTACTAGATCTGAATATACGAATTCCTGTAGACTGATGCCCGCATTTCCATAAGAAAGTACCTTGTTGACTGTTACACTCAAATATCTGAGAATCCACTTTACCGCGTCCCAAAGATGCCTGCCTGGATTGCCTTTGTACCTGCTAACCGCTCTCGATGCTTATGTAATATTTGGCCTGGCATAAATCATCACATACAACAAACTTTCAACTGCTGAAACATAAGGAGTTTTCTTCATATATGCTTACTCTGTTTCAGGTTTTGGCGATTACTATTTAGAGAGTTTGAAGTGATTACGTAAAGGAATGCTAAATGGCTTCGTCTCACTCATGTTGAAACTCTGTAGGATCTTCTCAACATACTCTGCCTGAGAAAACTATGGTGTTCCTGCTCTTCTATCCTTGCTGATTCTCATCCCGAAGATCTTCGTGATTGGACCTAAATCTTTTATGTCGAACTCACTTGATAACTATTTCTTTAAACCCTTGATTTTCTCCATGTTTGCATCTGCAATCAATATGTCATTCACATAAAAAAAAACAATATATAACAGTTACCAAAGTGTTTGATGAAGCAACAGTGGTCTGCTTGACACTTCATGTACCCATTATCTAACATGAACCTGTCAAACCTTCTGTACCACTGTCTCAAAGTCTGCTTCACCCGTAGAGACTCTTCTTCAATCTGCAGACCAAATCTTCATTGCCCAAAATCTTATAATATTGTGGTTGCACCATGTATAGCTCATCCTCAAGATCTTCATGTAAGTAAATTGTTTTTATATCCATCTGCTTCAAATGTAAATCTTTCTCTGCTATCAGACTCAACACAACCTTGATAGCCATTATCTTCACTACTGGGGAGAAGATCTCTGTGCAATCCACTCATTCTTTCTACTGGAAACCTTTCACAGCAACTCTTGTCTTGTAGCACTAGCTATCATCCGACCCCTCTTTCAGCCTGTAGACCCGCTTGTTGTCTAGTGTTTTTTTTTTGCCATTTGGTATGTCAAATCTCAAGTCTGATTTGACTCCAAAGATTACATTTTTTCATCCATTGCGAGCTCCCACTCCCTTAAATCTTTAACTTGAGTGGCTTCCTCAAAACACCCTGGTTCACCACTATCAGCTAATAATAAATAGTGTAAAAAAGGATAATACGTTTGTATGGGTTATTTCACTCTGCTGGATCTTCTGACTTTTGTTGCAGACAACCGAGGA